CATAACAATGAAGTATATCCATTGCAATATGTTGCCAATAGCAATCTCTTACATTACTACGAAATATTAGTATATTTCAAAAATAATCTGTTATATATTTATCTTTTTTACGTCGCTGGTGTAGTAGAAATCAGAGAACATACATATGTATTATATACGTATGTATATAAACGTTTTGGTTGGTCTGGTTATTCATTGGTCTGGTTAAACGTAAGGATATAATAACATTGGGAATATTAAAACACAGTGTCTTATAAAATGAATACCTATAGAAGAAAACGTGGTGAGATGTCTAAGGGAGGAAACTAGGAAAATAACGAGGAAACTTTTACTATAATATAATTTTTTTTATTACCAGATAATCAATTACTAGTAAGTACTACTATAAGTAAACTTAACACCTCCAGGTAAATTTCTAAGAAATTAACTAAATTTCTAAGAAATCTATTGTTAACTGTAAGGCGGTCGTGGAGGGATTAACTATTATCGATATGAGTGCCAACGGAACAAAAATGTTAGTTCATCATCTTTAATATGCAGACTTATCTATACATATAATAAAATTCTGAGTCGAATCTATATTAAATATTTTTTGGAAAATCTTATTGAAATACATAGTCATTATTATCGATGCATAGGCCGAATCTAGTTTTTAGAAGTTTTGTTTGTCTCTCTGTGACGGCATCACGAAAAACCCACTGGAGGGATTTTGATGAAATTTAATATGATGATAGCTGGTTATCCGGGTTAACATATAGGACACTTTTTACTGCGGGAAAATATCTCATCTCTGAGAATTCTATACTAAACGTTAAAACGTAAGAAGAGACGAACCCGGGGTGAATTGCTAGTTTAAAATATAAGCATAATACAATGAATTCTTTAAGACAATTAGGTTGTATTGTTTTCACTCTATTATGGATTAATTTCACTTTGTTTACAGGAAGCACTTCCTGTTATTCTAGCCAAAGTAAAAGACACTCCAGAGATATCTGTGTTGATAATAAAAATATAATGTATAGATTTAAAATATCAATTCTTTCCAACAATACTAAAAGCATTTGCAGTATGAAAAATATAATTGTCATGCCATTACTTTGCTGAATGGTCTATGCGAAAAATTTTTATTCTATACAAATGGCGTTGTGTTATAATTTCCACTTTTTGTACTACGTACAGATACAATCAATTTTAATTTACGAATATCGTACTCTAACAATTTCGCTAGCATCGAATCCAATGGGATTGGAGGCAAAATCGGAAATGACATTTTTTTACGAGAATGTTATTCGACTTTTCACCAATACGTATGAATTCAGTTTTTGTTACTTTCGGAGGTCATAAATTGATTTACATTTGATACATAATAGCATTAAGTTTAAAATTCTTACATTGTAGTAGAATATTTGTAAAAATTTTTTATAGGAAACGTATTATATTTATACCTACGTTAATTTTATTATTTTCTTAACCGTTTCTATGCGTGCCTATTGAATACAAAGTACTTCGCTATTGTCACTTAGAGAAGTATTTATAATTCTATGTGACATTTTCGAGGTAATTTGTACTCCAATGGTACGACTTGAAAACCATAAAACACAGTATATAATGTATATAGCAAAAAAATAAGTATACATATAACCTAAAGTATTAAAATTGAATTAAATAGCAATAGTCGCTTAAGCGCGTGTAGCTGACACGCTCCTTTAGAAAAATAAGTGAAGCGAGTTCAAACCCCGAGCCTCACACCTCTAATATTCTCATATGCGAGTCATTTTCAACATGATAACTGTACGGTATAGGAAAATATAGTGTGGAAATCTGTCTGACAGAATCTAGCAAGTTTTCGAAAAAAATAAGAAGTCCGCCAACCCGCACTTGGAAAGGGTCCAAGTGGCGGACTTCTCAATTTTTGTTCAGTTGAACATTCACGCATTGAAGATGCCCAGTAGCATGACGATGAGCAGAACTAAATATACAGTTGTTTAATTGATTATGATTTTTGAAGACACAAATATTATTCCTGTACAGTAGAATCTTATATCGTATAGTAAACAAAAATGTTATTAAACTGAAAAGATAACAGTGAAAATCTCTAAAACAGACAGGCGTGACATTACACCGTATAAATTGTAGCGAAAATGTCAAAAGCAAACAGCGCTAAGTGCGGCGCGGTGACAGGCACTGATTAATCCTTAGCGAGGAATTAAAAGCGAATAAGTTATTTTCAGCGCATTATTATTACAAGGGATGGATGTATAATTATGTGATATGGATTTTAATAACACAATGACTTGTTTGTCGAGATTTCCTTTTGTAAAAGCGTAAGTATATTATAATTAAAACTACGTTGCACAAAAATATTGGTATTTTATATTGACAGCAACTTATTACATTTGAAAATTGAACTTTTAAACTCAACTAATAAATCGACAGGTTATAAAATAAAAAAAACTTATAATTCAGAGTATACAACTATTATTCGAAACGAAATAGAAAGTTTTATAACAAGACAAGAAATAATAATATTAGCAAAAGCGGTGCGAATTTTCTGGCGCTGAGCGGCTGAAGGGCAAAAACGGAGTTGGTAACAAACAAATTAATTTTTTCTCTATTCCCTCGCGGTGCGGAACATTGACGTCGTGTTTAGAATATAAGTAATGACTTTCAATATACCAAAAGATGAGGCAGAGTAGAGGCACGGGGACAGATAATTTAAGTTAATTTACGATGAAAGATAACTGCGTACGACGACGTGATAGATTGGGTCGTAGATAGACACCGAACTCGTTAAAACTGAGCGCAATCGAACGGCACGACCAAGTTAAATTAGTAATAATATTGAGCACACTTGCAATTTTCAACTGTGAATTAAAATACTACAATGATGATGCTATAACGTTTTACTAAACGAGTAATGAACTATCAAGGTTTGAATTTATAATTAATAAACTATAAAATTTTATTATGTTACATTTTCGAATGTAATACATGATTCATAATTCACTAATCTAGGTCAGTTTAAAGTTAATTTTATTAAGTAAATGCACCTAGCCATGTAAAAAGTACATAAAAATATCTTATGTTTATTGAGAAAGGTATCTAAACACAACGTTTATCTATTATTAGAATTTTATTTTAGGGTTGTTTATACAAACTGTATTAAACAAACAAACAACAATGAAGACTTAATCTCCAAGAAATAGAACGTCGTTGTGAGGAAAAGTTACATTAATTTTAGGATATTTGTAACTAAGAACTGGTGTTAGGACTGTTAATCGCTTGTTCAGTTTTATAGCTTATCATTAGTTTGTAAAAGGGCTAAGCGGCCGCCTGCCAGGGGACGCCTTGGGAGGTCTGAGGAAGAACCAAATTAATAGCTACAAGCTCAGGCGGTAGAAACGCCACTTTCATTCCCCGTGGGAACGCCTTAACAGCATTATAGAGTATTAAGATTACTTTGTTTTGAGATCGTAAGCTTCCTTACATTTTTAGGACTCCAAATCCTCTTTAAATAGAATATACTATTTAGAATCAATCGACGAGCGAAGGAAGATATTTTTATTCGGGGCCAGGCCTAATATAAAGCTATAATAACTTCAATGTCGTTGTTATAAATAAAAACTGAATATGAAAAAAATAAACAAAAAAATACTATTAAAATATAAATTCATATAAACATTCTAACAATAATTTCAAAGGATACATGACACTTAAACCTAACACAAAAAGTATATAAATATTTAACTTTGAATAAAATAATCATTCTGGAGAAGTTTTCAATGGATCGTTATGTCGACTCTAGTGTAAGATAACCTCTTCCTCTATCACCTAAACGATGTGCGTTTGTACACAGCGCTGACAGTAAAATTGAAATAACTTAAATCTTAAGAAAGGATTACTTTATGCGAGATTCATTCTAACAAATGACTGTTTAAAATAGTAAAATATTAAATCCACCATCTTGTTGTTGAGAACCCTCTCTTACGAAATAAAATAAACATTATAAACCAAACAACTCGCAGCATCATTATAGAGATAAGAAATATATTTTAGCTGACAACACTTTAAGGAATTTTCTGCGACACAGAGGGAGCAATAAGGATAAATATTTATTGATACATACGACATGCTTTTTCAACGCGTAGTGGTAACTAGCGCCTTAATACACGTACTTCCAATTCAATGGACTACGGTATGAGCGTCAACAGTTCCGCGGTAGTTTTAATTCACAGCATTCATGTCGAGCATATCAATCAAATATAATCAGTAGCTCTATAAAATTGATCAAATGAACGATTAACAATTCAACACGAATTGTTCACGCCTAACACGAAAATAACCGTCTGTGCTAATCAACATTGTGTACGCGTGGTTAGTGGGCATAATATTTGCAACCGTATACATTATTATGAAACCTTTGTATTTTATACAGCCAAAACCCACCGGGCCCCAAAAAGTAATAACTAACCTATAAGGTTTGTAATTTGTATCGTATTGAAAATTCTAGTCGTCTATCCAAATCGAAAATCGTTTTCAATTAGTTATTCGCACCACGTCTAATGGAATGGTCGTATAATCCCCAAGGGCGGTGGACAATAGTCTGGAGAGGTAATTTGCATGGCCGTACACCAAGTACGCGTATTCGGCACATTTGCATGCCCAAAACGGGACGACGTCGTCAGGTCCGAGGACACGTTGAGTCTCGGCGCCGAGCTGATGTAATCGAATCGATGTGAGAACAATAATAATTTAAATTCAAATTTCAGGCCTCCAAATCGTTATTGTGACATATATTTATTACTGTGACCGACATTATTAATATGGAAGCTACCAAACGCTTCTCGTGTAGAGATCCAAACACGACACGTGCAGATATTATATGTGACAATAAAAAAAGCAGCGTGAGAATCGTATTTTTTTTTATTTAAGGTGTTGCATAATCCCGTTCATAGTCATATGGGGAACAAGTAGTGTATAACGAGACAAAAGGTACTCACTTCCAGCCAGTGGAGTATCTCGAAAAGAGCCATATTTCGTTGCTGTGCGGTCGAAAACAATGGCACCGTTTACGCGCCCGTTGACAATTACACGGCCTCTGTAAAGAAAAACGCTTATTTAAAAAAAAGCACCTAATGAAATAAAAAAATGTTAGTTAAAATATGCTTTAAAGGAAATGACATTTAAAAAATTGAATAACACATACGCGATTTAAAATGCAAAAAGTTCTCATTTCCCGGAGTGGATGGTGGTGGCAGCGTATCTCTGAGGCGAGCTCGTACTGAGCGCGGAAATTACCAGTGAAATCAGTAACGCTGTGCGGGAGAGGAAGTCCGCTTCGGACAATCAAGTAAAATCCTCGAGACGCTATAAAACCCGAAAAAAGCTCTAGATTTCTTTGATATATCTTCAATGTTATTAAAATAACATTATATTATTTTTTTATGTTTACGTGCTTTACTCTGGAGTATGTTGTTATTAAGGCTTCGCGTCAAGTAATTTTAGACGTAAAATATTAAATTTCAAAATTTACTCTCACAGTGTTTCTTACTTGAGAACGCATCAGTCTCTTGGGGAGGTACACCGTACAAAACAGTAAACACACATATATAATGTAATATTCATCACATAAAGGAATTCTCAAAGAAATTATCTTATATACTGCGTATGGGTATCCCCATATTTAGTCATCGAAATAGGTAGGTATATACTTGTTTTAATAAAAGTATTGATCAAAACTGATCAAACCAAACCTATTAGTGACGTAAATTGTAAATATAGAAAAAATACAATATACATATACCTAACATTTTTGATGAAGTAAAAAATAATAGAAATAAATGCATGTCTTCATTAGCATATACATACAAACCCTCTCATTCGGATACGCATACCAAAGCGGTAACAATAGACGTTTAACAAGTGTAAGGATATTGTGGTGTTAAAGAACAATGCGGAATTAACAGGATTTTATACGAAACTGTGTTCATATTCATACATGGGGTATAAAATTAAAGTCGGGACTGAATACATTTATCCTTTGTTGGAAACGTGGAACTAGAAAAGATTACAGTGTAACGAGGCGGCAGTATGGTTATCGTCTGCGAAATGGTCACGCTGAAACTAACAGCTTATTATCAAAAGATTTACAATGACTTATATCAGATTCAGTTAAATTATATTTATAGCTGTTAAAATACAAAAACAAAACAAAAAAATAGTAATTTAAAGCCAAAAAAAAATAAACATTAGCCATCGAAATCTTATTTTATTCTAAGAAATTCTATTTAAATAGTTTCAATTGTTATTTTTTAAACTATCTACGTGTCTAGCGAAATAAAAAGGAATAAACATTTAAATTCAAATTTTCTTTATACTAGGAATTAAAACAAATATGCCGACGATGCCGCATCCGATGGTACGCTCATTTTGCATTCGTAAAAGAGCGACCTTCACGTTATGCAGAAACTTGTTAAATTTGTTTTTAGATTTCCACATTCTAGGCAAGGAGGAATAAATTTACCAATGGAGGCAAGTTAAATCTTTGTTTTATATATATTCATAATATGATAAATAATACAATGAATGAGAAAAATCATGGTAAAATTTTATAATTTTACGCGTTTCAACATAAGCGAATGCAGCGGACAGTTTTAAAATTGACTTTACAAAGTTTCCATATATACTAACTCACAAGAGAAGTCATTAAGAGCTTGTAAACATTATAAAAAAATGAATAATTTCTGAATTTCTCATTTGCGTTAAATTAGTATACAAACCCAATATTGCTGGCAGAAGCAGTCGGTGCGAATTGCTAAAGCTAGCATAGCGTTAAATATTTACAGTACGGTTGAAAACACACACTGTAACTTGGTGACCTAACTCTAAACTAGGAATCTAACTTTGCACTAATTAAAGCAATGTTGGGAGCGCTTTGTACAAAGTATTTAATTTGTAAAAGAGCGTAATGAAAAAATGGTACCATAACATTTTTTGTAAAACAAATATAGTTCAGTCATGTTATTTATTACTGGACGGGTCTTATTATAAGATAAGATCCTATAACTTCACTTTAATATATAACAATGTCACATAATGTTCATATTAGTTAAGTGAGAACATAAAAGTCCCAATAAAATGTCTGTACGCAGTAACATTATCTGTAGCACTAAATAAAATAAAACTATCCCCTTGACACGGCAGTTTTTACGCACGTTAGTCAAAAATAAATGTGATTTATTTTAGATATACTCATTTATTTTATTTTTGTCTGGCAATACGAAAATGTTTTATTATAATATATGGCTTTCATATGATCGGGCTCTTACATTGTAGAGCGACATGAAAAATGGTAGGAAAAACTAAAACGATTATAATTATAAGCAACTACTTAAGTACTACAACGCAATTAAAAACAGACCACTGATTTATAATTACGCGATAACTAGCCGGAGTTCTCTTGCTTTTTTTATAAAAAGGAAATAAAAACTGAGAACAACGTTTTACTGACGACTGCAAACGTGATGAAGAGCTGATAAATAAGTAAAGATCGCTTTATAGTATCTTTGACCTATGAACTAAGTCTCTAGATAGTTTTTTGCTAAAAAAATATGTATTAACGGACTTGGATGCTGTTTGAAATATCTATATAATATAAATACCAAATATCTATATAATAAAGATAAAAAAGTTCAGTATCTGTTTCTCCTCTGTCTATCAGTCAATCGATATTCTTTTATTTAGGAGCTATTGACGAGCTTTAGTGTTACCAATAAAAAAAATTATGGTCGTATTCGGCCACATATAAATACACTACTGCCCGATTTCACCAACGTCACCTAAGTTTAAGGGATCCCCTAAGCATAGTTAGGGGGCTGTTAGGGGACAGTTTCTGTTTCACCGACAGTTAGGGGTCACCTTAATGTTAAAATGCCACTTATATATAGGTACTAGAAATACGGGCTCTGACGATGGTAAAACGAAATTTAATTTAGGGGCTAGTTTAGGGGACTTTTAAGCTAGGGATCCCATACGTAGGTCCATAAATCTACTAAGAAGGTTGATGCTCAATACATATTGATAACTAAAAATTAAATACCAATGCAGTAAATTTTAGGACGTATAGTGTTATTTAATAAAATATGATAAGTATCATTAGTATATACTCTCTTACTCAGAGAATAGTATAAGCTGTCTGCCTCTCCAACAATTAAGACGAATTTACCGACAGCTCATAATATGTATCTAAGCCGAGCAAGCTATATAGCGTGTCGAAAAAAAGTAAGTAATACGTAGGTACAATCGTAAAACATTTGCCTCTTCATAGGATAAGATAGCCGAGCAAAAACGGTAGAAAATTTAAATAGAACATGCAAGTCTTTCCCACAATGTGTAGTAGGTGCCTGTTTACTCATTAAGTCGGTAAATCTATACTAATATTATCTATACTAATATTATAAAGAAGTAAAGTTTGTGAGTTTGTGACGTTGTAGGGGGTAATCTCTGGATCTACTGAACCAATTTAGATGAGGCAAAAAGATAGTTTGAGACCCTGGGAAGGACATAGGATACTTTTTCGCGAAAATCATCCCTTAAGGGGGTGGAAATGGGGATGAAATTTTGTATGGGACATCAACCTAGGGACGAACCCAAGCAAAGCGAAGGTGAGTCGCTAGTAGTTTATAAAATAATAATATAGGTTATGAAAAAACGTAGGTGGTCTTAATATTACGAATTAAGTCAATTTTATCGGTATGGTAGCAAAAACATACTAATTAAGATAAGTGGCTTCTCGCTGCCATAAATAAATAGCAACATTATAAATATAGAGTTTTCACTTCTTCAGTTTTCGTATACCCATTTAAAATTCTATATCTAATTCAGGCTCAACGTAAGATAAAAATGTAGACACAATTTGATTTTACATTTACGGCCCATTAAAACTTTAACCTCAGGAAAACTTAGCATAAAAATGCTTTCACGGATCTTACTTAATGAAATTAAAACGTATTTAAAGAGGTTGCTTTTAGCAAAGCATGACATTAAATTTCCTTTCAAATTTTTGAGATGTCATTGCACGCACGCCTTCACTAATAGCTTGTTGGCTCAGCTCAACCACTTCACATGCTCCCCACGTCTCCCTAAGATTTTTCATAGACTTTCCATTTAAAATTGATCGAGAAGGATTTACTACTCGGCACCTTAAATTCCAGTTGATGGAGCATCACTAAAAAGTTAACAGATTGCTGATGCGTGAAAAAGGTTTAAAGCTTTTATCGTTAATATGTCACCATTTGTTGTTAGAAAGCTAATGGCCTCTATAAAGTTTACGTACCACGTGTAAAAAGATATTTTGCAAATATCAAAAATCACTTCATTAAAGTCTGATGTAAGGATACGTTTCTATATTTTATAGGCGCCTTCGAGGCCACACTCAATCAGCGGAATGACAAGCTGATTAACAAATTTACGATACAGGTTGCGGGGGCGGCTCCACGCTGGCATAGTTAAATTTCACATGATACTAATCAAAGCTCATCAATATTCAAGTAGCTAAAAATAAATAAGACATTGTTTGTTAACCTGAGAAAAAAATATATTTGAGAAATTTCATTATTAAACGATTTTGTGAAGCAATAACGAAATTACGAACCGAAATACATACTTGCAAAAGTTCTTCGGAATTTTCGGGCTACTTCTACTTTACAACGTAACGTAACCCCTTTAATAAAAACCCTCAAACGTCACTAACGATTATTTTACGCTTGCTCATTTTGCAGTATTAACAGAAAGTAGCATTTGAGATAAACCAGGTCATGACCTAAAACAGAAATGTGCCTACAAAAATGATTTTAAAATTAGATATCGTACCTTCAAATCAAGATCCATTACGAGATGTCTTCCGAAAGAGGTGCCTCCGGTCTTCTGTATGTGAAGAAAGACCATGACATCGTGAGCATTGAGATCAAATCGAAAGTCCTCGTGCAAGACTTCATCATACGAAATTCCTGGCTGTGCAATCAAGTCTGGCAATGGTCGGCCTGGAGCTTCCGCATATGAAAGCGCAAGTGATTCTGACACCCGTTCCCTCGGTGTAAGAGCACACACCTACAACAAAGTTATTTGTTACCATCTTGTAAACATATCTATATATAAGTGAATAGAATTCATCGTCCGACACAATAGAGATAATGGCAAAAATCGTTTTTGGGCATTATGTGGAGTAGCTTTTTAGTCATAAAATATTCAACTTATGAAAATAGAGTGTGTTTTTAATATGACTGACATGGTCACCACTAGTATATAATATACTAGTGGTTTTATAATGTTGTTATTTTGATATTAATATCAATTAGTATTACAAATACAAAAAATTAGCTTATTTTTAATATATTATTATACACTTACGAAAATTAAAACGTTTTAGTTAATTCTAAGCGCACAATGTATGACTTTTTAGCTTTTATGTTCTATGCACTCAGACAGTTTGAGATTGCAAAAACGTAAGTAACGACCTATTTGGGAGCTTAACGTCTCTCTTTGAAGTATTGAATAAAGTAAGACTAGACTTGTTAATTAAGAAATGTTATAATTAATTTTGTTAACATTATTGCAATGAAATTACGTAAAGACCGTTAACGAATGCGAATTCAATTAGTTTTCTCAAAGTAAAATTTGTTCTATCGTTTACTGGTAAATATAAAAAGCATTTTATTGCTTATTTCTTAATTTCTCTTATTTTTTTGCAAAGAGAAACATACTGTTTTTAACTGACTTCAAAAAATAAAATTGTGTATTAATTTTAAAAATATGTATAATATGCAAGATTTTTGCCAATGTTTAATTTATCCGATTAGTAGAATTGTTTTTTAAGGATTGGAATTTAAATTGAAATTACAGGAGGAAAGTGAATAGTTAAAATTATATTACTAAAAAGTACTTAATTTGCTTGCTTACTTAATCGATCTAGTAAGTACTTACTAGGTTCTACCATCTCCTTTGATTATATGGAACACACAAAATACATATTTATTGTTAATCTATGTTTTGTGGCAGCTACCTTTTAAACAAATCGTTATTCTTTTAATATTATAAAATAGTAATTAAAACAGGACTGATACACTTCATAGCTCATCATCATCATCTCCCTGTCCATTTCCCAATCACTTTTGGTCGGCGCAGTACGTCATCCGTACTGCTGATAGGATTTGGCAAGAGTTTTACGACCGGCCAACTGCCTGACATCAACCCTCCTTGGGAATACTATTGTTTATCGCGGAAAGGACCCAAGGTGCGATGACCAGCACATCTAATTTAGATTTAGGTATTAAAATTATCTAATGCCAGTAATTTTTTCACCACTTTGTTGCAACAATAGCTTGAGGTTAGGCGTGGCTTAATATTGGAGAGTTCTTTTACATCTTGTAATATGCATATTCCATAGGTACTGTTTTCTTTTAAAAAAAAATTATAGTATTATTCAAAGTTTTAATATAAGTAATTTCTGATATATTTTGAAATAAATTATGAGCACACGAAAATTTTGTTTTGACGTTGTCAATTTTTTTTTTCTTTTTTTTCACTTCATAGATCATCTTTTACTAAATATGGCATGCATACTAACAATCTCCATTTAACTTTTTAAAGCAAGACAAAACAGTTTAAAATTTAAACCAAAATAAATTGTCAAATAAGAACCCAATTTCTAAAAAAGTAACTAGCTGTTACATTGATGTTTAGGGTAGCGACGCGAAGGTTAAGAGGGTGACGAGATAAAGAGCCTATCCGCACCCCCCTTGTTTGTTCGGTCTAATGAAGTGGGCCGAGCCTTCATCCATTAATATACAGTCGCAATCAGCACTCCAGAGCGTTATTCGGCCAAGGTTCGTCTCGCACCTTGGATTAGATTAGTTTTTACATTGCCACTGCTAATTGGAATCTGTTATCTAGTGTCTAAGTAACACTACAACGTAACACTTCTTATTAAGAGCTTTTGTATGACTGTCAATCAAGCAAAATATTCAAAAAATAAAGAACATTAGTAACGGGAATAAATGTAATTAAAGAGTTTCTACAATCACTTTCAGGATCAAAGCAGCATCATGCCGAATTTTTGTATTGACGACGAAATTTTATACTCAGGTTAATGTAGTAGGTACTCAATTATCAGCAATTGTTTGATAAATGGCTCGCCAATTTTGAACCTGTAAGACAGACATGACAAAAATAAAAATGAAAGAAAGTCCACGTACACGAAACGTCCTCACAAGCTTTTTTTGTTAATTTGTAATTAAGCTCCAGACGATCTTTGATTTCGTTCGACAAGTACCCCATTGGGTAATCCTTCGTAAACTAGCCGAGTCCGTATCCTTGAGCAAAGTTATTTTTATTTGGAAATTGTTAATTTGGAAATGTAACCCAAGGGGCAGATATTACTTGGAATCACGTACATACGTAGAGCTTTTGAGTGTACTTAAGGTTAACGACAAGGTTAGTACCTACACGATTACATTTTATAGAAAATAAGCTAAATTCTATATGATCACAATTTTGACATTTTAACCCTTTGTAACGTAGAATCTACATTTAAATATAGGTATAAGTATTTTAAAGATACTTAGTATCCATACTAATATTATAAATGTGAAAATGTGTTTGTTTGTTTGTCCTTCTTTCATGTCGAAACAGAGTGACGGATTGACGTGATTTTATGAGTGGAAATAGTTGGAGGGCTGCAGAGTGACATAGGCTACTTTTTACCGCGGGAGATTATCTCATTCCCACGGAAAAACAAGTTATAATACAACCCAAAAAAATATTTGTGATCAGAATTACTTGAAACTTGGTATTAATGCTCTTCAATACAATTAAATAAATATGTGTTTTAGCATTTTTCGAAATTCATCCCATATGGGGGTAAAATAGGGCATGAAAGTTTATATGAAACCTAGTTTTTAAAGTTTTATGCTAGTTTGTTGTTTTATTGTATTGTTATGCTAGTTATTTAATAATTACACAATAATATTCATGTTACCAGTTATCTTAAGATATAATAAAGTCATAAATTTTAAACTATAAAAAAATATGTACGTTTTTGGGATGTTTATGATAAATATCCAAACGGCCAAGCAAGCAAAATCAATCGGTTTTAGACTTGTTTGTTATCTTTGCGTCTTATAGGAACAAAAATGACTGGATAGGTCTAAACACATTATTAATAATACGAGTATACTTGTAGCATAAGCAGAAAGAACGAATATGCATATGTTGTAACATAAAATTACTTTTACTAAAAAGGTACACTAGGTAATTTAAAAATCACTTTAAATGTTACTATTCGACTCTTATTCTATACTTGACGTAAAATCTTTACATTCAAAAATTATTATGCAAATCTGGTGGTACAGACATCGCTAAACATCCACACAAAAAAAAAAGTCTTTATCTGAATATATTATATAGTACTTCTGCGTTAGTTAAGTCAGTCAAAAATACATCTACCCATAGGGAGTTTTACTATAATTACACAAGTATACTGCCAGTAAATACCTCAGTTAGTTGTTTTATAGCTCTACTCATTTATTTTTAAAAGAAATACATTGAAACCTAGCTTGTGCCATAAAAGGTCCGTATTACTTCACCAAAATACCAGACACACGGTGAGAACAATTCTCGACGCCGTTTATTTTGGTCCTATCACTACAATAGGCTATTACTGTCCCATCGCTGGATGGACGTGAGCTTTATCTAAGACATCTGTACTATGTAGAAATAGACTCCTTCCTCGTAAATTGTGTACATTTCCTACTTGTATTGGTTTAGTTTTAGAGATCATAATTTTACTATAAAATTTAAATAATTACATAGTATAAAATGCAATCGCTTCCGCGGTCTGTTCGCTTAGATCTTTTAAACTACTCAACGGATTTTAATGCAGTTTTCGACAATAGATAGAGTGATTCAAGAGGAAGGTTATATGTATAATACGTGCATACTATAGTACAGAAAGGCCGAGAAATTCAAAGATCTATATTTCAAACTAACCGTTAAAACGTACCTAGGGACGAACCCGAACGAAACGAGGGTTAGTTGCTTGTAGAAAATAAATGCGTTACAACGCAATAAAATGTATTTCAAATGATGTTTATTGAAGTAAATTATTCACGGTATTTGCTTTAACAATCAAAAAGTAATTAGATGCCGGTCCTTTTTATAAAATAAGATCAATCCGCTCATCTATCATGCGGGTTTGTATCAGCTTACCATTGATGCATCGACAGCCGCCTCAATGCTAATGTGATACGAAGAAAATACGATACGGCGCCACTGACTAACCATGTTTAATGAATTATATCCCATGTACGAGCAGTATGGTAAGCACACGGCTACTCCAATTACATACGCAAGTAATAACAGCAACAACATCAAAATTATGAAATGTGTACTTAAACAAAACCACAGCCAAAATGTTCGTTTGTGGTGAGTAGGTTCGTAAAAGCAAACGTGGCAAAAGTTTCATATGAACGTTATGACAAACTTGTACAGTCAGCAAATTTGAACACGTAATTTGGCTTGGAAAGGGATCAGGAATATGTAAAAGTGTCATAAAATTTGTATTTACGTGCCTCACTTTTTAGAGTAAACATTTTTTATAGAGATAAAAGCACTTTTAGCAGCCGATTCTCTTTAGTCGATGCAAAGTTTATTGTACGCAAATGAATGTTAAACTTATAAACTCTACATTTACCTATAATATATATTAGACTAGCTGACCCAACAGGCGTTGTTCAGCAAATTCAATAAAGTTTGCAATCTTTGAGAGCATATAAAAATTCTATAAACAAGAGCTATTAGATCAGATTTTCAGATTTTTCGAATTATCCGGGTAACTTTTCTAATTTTCTCCGAAAAACCTTATTGGGACTATTACGAACATTTTTAAATAAAGTTGGTACTTACTAAGGAACAGCATTTTATTTTTATTTATAAATTATAATAATGATAAAAATAGTTTTCATGGACTCTAATAGGTACATTGTTTTGATGTATCTCTTAAAGTTTAGCCAGTGTTTTCATAAAAACTGTTTTTTTTTTTGACAAAAACATTT